CTCCTACATGGACTTTTCATTGTTTATGGTATCTTTAGTAATATATTTTACACATTCGCTTGCTAATCCTATCACTCATACTTACTAATCGCTGGAAAAAAGTTCAACGTTTAACTTTTTTGAATTGTCTTCTAGTATGTTTCTGTTCTATATCATTGATTTTTGATACTTAGGCTTTCTTCCTATTAACCTTTTGGTTTGTTTTTACTTTTTTTTTAATTTAAGATTTTTAAAGCTTCATGAAATAGAGTAGTATTTGTGATTTCCCAGCTTATTGAATATACCGTTAACATAATGTTTTCTTCTAAGGAATGCATTCTTTTGACATTAGTATTATTTATTTTTGTTTGAAAGGTAGAGACACACACACACACACACAAATACTCATACACACCCTTCTATCTGTTGGTTTATTCCCCAAATGGCCAAAACAACCAGAGCTGGGCAACATTGAAACTAAGAGCCAGGAACTCCATTGGTGTCTCCCTGGTGGTTATCAGAAGTCAGATACTGGAATAGTTACCCACTGTTTCTGGAGTTCAGTAACAGGATCAGAAAAGGAGTAGCTAGGGCTTGACCTGGTACTCTAGCATGGGTTGTTGTTAATTCAAAGTGGCAGCCTTAACCCACTGCACCACAATACCATCCCCTGTTAGTGTTTACGTTATCATTTTGTCAGACTTTAAAATTTTTGTTTGCAGATTTTATACCCTGAGGTTTTATTTATTTATTTATTTATTTATTTATTTATTTGAAAGGCAGAGTGACAAGAGTAGGAGGAGGTTATGTTCCACCCACTTCTTTACTCCTCACATGGCCACAACAGTTGGGGTTGGGCCAGGCCAGTACCAAGTCAGGAGTTCTCCTGGGTGGCAGAGACTGAAGTACTTGAACCATCAACTGTTGTTTCATAGATATGTTAAGTACGGACCAGGAATCTCTCTACCTCTTGCAGATGTGCTAGTTTTCATTTTATATTTTGTTCATCTTATGTTCTCATTTCATATTTCTGCCAGAAATTCAGTTTTAATTAAATTTGTTTTTGGAAGGTTCTTCTTCTGGATCCCTTTGGGTCTCTTTCTGTTGTCTGCTCTTTGTTGATTTTTGGTTAAAAATATCTTCCTCCAGAGGGGATCTATATTTGTTCCTCAGAGATGGCCAATGGAATTGGCAATCTGCTATCATTTTCATACAGTCAAAGATTCAGCTGATTAGAAACTGGGCTTCAGTCCTGTGAAGTCCAGACTGTTCCCATAGTTTCTCATTTTGAGCATACTAACCCAGAATGTGAAATTTTCGCCAGTACTTTTGTGGTCTTGAATTTCAGTTTTGGACCATTGAGACCCAGGAGCCTTTGGAAGTACTCTGGTTAGTTCTTTATGACCTTTTGTGGGTCTTAAAATGACCTGGAGTTGGCGGAATAGCTAACAGCTAAACCCTTACCTTGCATGTGCCGGGAATCTGTTTGGGCACTGGTTCATGTCCCAGCTGCTCCAGTTTCCATGCAGCTCCTTGATTGTGGCCTGGGAAAGCAGCTGAGGATGGCTCAAGGGCTTAGGACCCTGCACCCACACGGGAGACCTGGAAGGCACTTCTTGCTCCTGGCTTCGGATAGGCTCCACTTGGCTGTCCACTTGCGGGAGAGAACCAGTGGATGGAAGATTTTTCACTGTTTGGACCTGAGTTTCCAAGAAAGTAAAGTTAAAAGAGAGAGAGAGAGAGAGAGAGAAAGGAAGGAAGGAAGGAAGGAAGGAAGGAAGGAAAGAAAGAAAGAAAGAAACATAGATTGATAGCTCTGGAGAAAGCCCTCACTGTAGGGTTTTCCTCACCTCTCAGATGTAGACTCTGTGATTGTTGCTTCTCGGGGATATTTATTTTGTATTTGCTTAGGTCTTCTCCCTGCTCTAGAATGCTTTTTCAGCTTGCTCACTTTGTTATATTGGATATGGGACCCTGATATTTTGTAAGCCGGTGGCATTAGGTTTGAATGACTTGGCTGATCTCATGTTCTACCAGTATCCTGTCCTTGTTCATGACACTCAGTCCTTTCTTTTTAATATTCATTTATTATTTATTGGAACGTCAGATATACAGAGAGAAAAAGAGACAGAGAAAAAGATCTTCTGTTTACTAATTCACTCCCCAAGTGACCGCGATGACCAGAACTATGTAGATCCAAAGCCAGGAGCCAGGAGCTGCTTCCGAGTCTCCCACGTGGGTGCAGGGTCCCAAGGCTTTGAGCTGTCCTCGAGTGCTTTCCCAGGCCACAAGCAGGGAGCTAGATGGAAGCTGTGCTGCTGGAATTAGAGCTGGTGCCCATATGTAATCTGGTAAGTGCAAGACGAGGACTTTAGCTTTAGGCTACCATGCCGGGCCCACTCAGTCCTTTCTAATAGTGTATTCTTACCTTAAGACCTCCGTAGTTCTTTTCTCTGCCTGGGACTCTTTCCCCAAATGCTTAAATAGTTGGCTTTCTTTTATGTTCTCTGGTCTTTATCAAATCTTTATGCATCTCTCTCATCAGTGTTACCTCTCTGACCTTTTTTTTTTTTTGTAAGATTTATTTTTATTACAAAGTCAGATATACAGAGAGAATAGGAGACAGAGAGGGAGATCTTCTGTTGATTCAATCTCCAAGTGCCTGCAACAGCTGGCGCTGTGCCGATCCGAAGCCAGGAGCCAGGAGCTTCTTTCAGGTCTCCCACGTGGGTGCAACTTCCCAAGGCTTTGGGCCATCCTCGACTGCTTTCCCAGGCCACAAGCAGGGAGCTGGACTGGAAGTGATGCTGTTGGGATTAGAACCGACGTCCATATGGGATCCCGGCACATTGAATGTGAGGACTTGAGACAGTAGGCCGGGCCCCTCTCTGACCTTTCTTATCTCCTTTCTCTTAACTTCTTTTACTCCTTACCATGGAGTATGCAGTAATTCGAGGATGGTGATTGATTTATTGTGTGTTGTGTGTCTGATGGCTGAAATTGTCCTGCATATAGTTAAGTGCTAAATTAATATTTGTTTTATTGATGAATAAAGTTGGTGTATTGGAGATTATAAAATACTGGATTCATATGGTGCCTGTATGGGTTAGATAGATTATCATAGACTTTAATAGATTATCATAGACTTCAAAAGTGATGACTTTATATTGCCGGGTGTTATACAGGTTATAGCTACTTGTTTTTATAAACCAAACTCTCTCCCTTTTAAAATATTACTTTTAGGATTAGCTTCCACTTTTTTCCACTCTTTTCCAATGCTAGGATGATATTATGACCTCTAATCTGAGGAACTCTATTCATGTTGCTGGAGAATTTAGGGAATATTAAGCCAATATATAATTTCCAACCAATCAGAGAGATACTTTTAATGTAACATAGTGAGAGGAACAGTGATTAAAAAAACCTAATTCTGTTAATTTTACAGACTACATTCTCCCGCTCACAGTTTCCTGCAGTGCGAGAGAAACACAGTCCTGTGCAGAGCTTCTCTTCTGAAGAGAACATTGAGAATGATTGACCTGAGTGGAAGTAGTGACCCAAGCAAATGCCAAAGTCAGCATTTACCCCTAGGAATTAGAGACCTTTTGGGGAGTGAACCAGTGGATGGAAGATCTTTCTAATCATACTCTTTGTAAATCTGCCTTTCTAATAAAAATAAATTTATTTGAAAGGAGAGAAAAAGAGAAAGATCTTCCTCCTGATAGTTCATTTCCCAAGTGCTCATAATAATAGCCAAGGCTGGATTAGGCTGAAGCCAAGAGCTTGGAATGCAGTCCATTCAACTGATGAGTTTTTCCTTGATTTTCCTTCAACTTGGTAAAGCGGTCCTTCCTTATGCTTAAGTTTGATCCAAGAAATTGATCCATATTAAAATCTTTTGTTACAATAGTTGATGAGGGCCCGGCAGCGTGGCCTAGCAGCTAAAGTCCTCGCCTTGAATGCGCCAGGATCCCATGTGGGCACCGGTTCTAATCCCGGCAGCTCCACTTCCCATCCAGCTCCCTGCTTGTGGCCTGGGAAAGCAGTCGAGGACGGCCCAAGGCTTTGGGACCCTGCACCCACTTGGGAGACCTGGAAGAGGTTCCTGGATCCTGGCTTCGGATCAACATAGCATCGGCCGTTGCGCTCACTTGGGGAGTGAATCATGGGACGGAAGATCTTCCTCTCTGTCTTTCCTCCTCTCTGTATATCTGACTTTCTAATAAATAAATAAATCTTTAAAAAAAAATAGTGGATGAATATACCAAACAGAGGCCAAATAATTTTTGATTTTCAGGGATGAATAAATAATGCACATACTTACACACACACAGCAATGCTTTGTGGTGCTTTATGTTTCTGAAGGCCATGGAAACTCTTTTATAATGTTGATAGGAAAGAAGGTGGGAGGTGAACTTTAAGTAAAATTCAGAGTAGGTGAAATTGTCATTGTACCATTCAGTTATTGTTTGTATTGTCTATTCCCACTAGACTGTTTTCTTTTTGCTTGATAAACTTTTTCTATGCAGTAATGAACCTTTATCGTCATACAAGTTTAAAATATATTGTTTAAAAACAACAACAACAAAAAAGGGAGTATTGGGGGAGAGGAAAAAATTCTGAGATGTTCTAAATTATGTTACAGAGCTGCAGATGGAGCAAAGCCAGAAATAAGAGGATTTTATATCAAGCTGATGGCTTTGTGTTACATCATCCCAGAAAAGTAAAAACAAAACTGTTACACACACATACACACACGATCGAGGCCATAAGATGTGCATAGGGGTGTGTGTGTGTGTGTGTTTGTGTGAGTGTGTGAGAGAGAGAGAGAATAAATTGGAAAATAAATATTTGTTAGAAGTGAAAATAATTCGAAGAAAGAATGCAGTGTAGTTGCCTTTTCTAAGTTTCGAATATGATAAGTTAAATGGTTATTGAACAGATTTCCCACTTAAAAATACTAGACACGTTTGAGTAGAGTCAGTATGATTATTGATAACTAATCAAACCCATCTTTTTAGGTGCTGGCTCTTCAGCTTTAAAGAGGCCTTTTGAAGATGGATTGGGGGATGATAAAGACCCCAATAAGAAGATGAAACGAAACCTAAGGAAAAGTGTGTAAAACCTTTATTTTTTACAAATGTGAAATTTATAGCCTCACATTGGAAAATAGTGAAGAGTGTGATTGATTTGAACTGCTCTTTAAGAGTATAACTTAGTTAAGAAACTGGTCATTGAATAAGTGTTTTGTGTGTCCAAGCTTCATTGCTTAAGTTACAGTAATGGTAAATAAAAAGTAATGTAAATTATTTTTTTATCATTAGCATGTATTAGTTATTTGTATGTTTTTAAATTCTCATTTATAAAAGTAAATTTGGTGATTTTGTTTGTTATTCATAAAGTAAAATGCATAGATTAAAGCAAAATTATTTTCTTTACTTGGCTTCTGTTCTCGTTCCTTTCTCATCAACAGTTCTGGACAGTAAAGCAATTGACCTTATGAACGCATTAATGAGGCTGAACCAGATCAGGCCTGGGCTTCAGTACAAGCTTCTGTCTCAGTCAGGCCCTGTCCACGCCCCGGTCTTCACCATGTCTGTAGATGTGGATGGCACAACATACGAAGCCTCAGGGCCATCCAAGAAAACAGCCAAGCTTCATGTAGCAGTGAAGGTATAGTGTTTGTTTATCAATACTTTATTTTCCATTTCATTTTCTAGTTCTTTTTTTCTTATAGTAAATTAATAGTATTTTCAAGATTTTGACAATATTACCTCTAGATCTTAAAATTACCTTTTCCATTGTAAAATAATTTGTTTTGGAAAATACAACAAAGACTAAACAAAAGCTTTTCAGTTGGAGTATTTCTGAGAAAAAGATTATCCATATTTATATATTGTGTGTTGGTTTATTTTCTCAAATGAGTGGAACTCTTAGTACATTTGACCTCTTACAGACTAATGGAGAGTATGTTAAAGATGGCTTAGACTTAAGATTGGTTTTCATTTAAGAAAAATTTTGTTATGTAACCGAATATGCTATAGGATGTCATTGGTTCATTTTTATTGTCTTTTGAAAACAATTTAAAAATTATTTTCAGTTTTTAACAGATTGAATATAGTTCATCAATAGCAATTCTAAGAATTTGTTAATATTTCCTCCTCTGTTCCATCTCCATCCGTGTCTTATATATTTTTGTGGATAACATACTTTTAATTTACACTAAAGTCAAAGGCTTAAGTACTTCACCTTGTACATTTAACTAATAAAAAGCAAAAAGACTAGTTTACTGAGGAATGTAAACAATAATGAAATGTAATGCAGACATATTAGTGATGTGGCAGCAAGCAAAGTAGCCATCCCCTGGAGCTCGTTTTCTGGCATAGGTATGACCCAGAGACAGACAGAATACACAGCCGTACAACATGCCATGTAGTGATCAGATCAGTGTAGAAGGCAGGCTTCTGGTGCAGCTTTTCACTTGGGATGCATGCATCTGAAACCGTAGTGCATGGGTTAAGTCCTAGCTCTGCTCCCCACTCTAGCTTCCTGCTGATGCATGTGCTGGGAGGCAGCAGGGGAAGCTCCCACATCTGTGATGCAAGGAAACATTTATGGACATTTTTTCCCCTCATAATCGTGTTATATAGGCAGCTGTCCTCAAAACACATTGTCATTCAGTCAAGTCTGTGGAAGTCAGTAGAGTGGCAAATTTTTCAATAAGATTTTAGATACTAACTTTGCTTTTGATGTAGCTTTTATTTCTGTAATATACTGGAACTGAGATTATGCTTTTTGATTGTGAATATTTTTTTACAGTTTTTTAGAAGATTATTTTTATTGGAAAGTCGAATATACAGAGATGGGGAGAGACAGAAAGCTCTTCCGTCCAATGGTTCACTCCCCAAGTGGCCGCAATGGCTGGAGCTGAGCTGACCTGAAGCCAGGAGCCAGGAGCTTCTTCCGGGTCTCCCACATGGTGCACCCAAGGCCGTCCTTGACTGCTTTCCCAGGCCACAAGCAGGGAGCTGGTTGGGAAGCAGGGTGGCCAAGATTAGAACTGGTGACCGTATGGGATCCTGGCACGCACAAGGCGAGGACTTTAGCCACTGCGTTATCATGCCGGGCCCCTGAATATTGGTTTTTGTTCAGTTTAGTATTTGTTAAACATTGGGAGGCTGTAAGCTGGGGTAAAACTCCCTGGCAAACACCTGGAAGTTAGATATCAGATATGGTCTGAGTGTTGGTTCCAATAAAAGAGTAAATTTATAGTCTCTGTGACTTGTAGAGGTGATGGCCAGCAGTCCTTTATTTAGTTGTAGTTTTGTTAGATTTTACAATTAACGTATAAATCTGAGAGTTGTAAAGAGTGAGGATTTGTCTTACCATTGTTGAAAAGGGGATAAACTAGACTTTGGATCTCGTCTGAGTGAATTAAGTATCAGAGCCAGCCAACATTCACAATTTGAAAACCTCCGTGTGGTTCCTGCATTTGGTTTAGGAGTTGTAGTCAGTTATATGATATGAAGGCCTTTTACTGCCTGGATTTCATTAAGGAGTAATGTAGTATGGGCTTCCATACTAGGTAATTATATTCCGGAATTTGCTTTTTTTCTGTTAAGGCAGATAGTTCTTCCCAAGGTCTCCCCATAGTTTTTACTGCACATCTGTTTTATTTATCTGTTTTAGAAGGATTTATTTCTTGAAAGCTACACAGACAGACATACACGCGTGCACACACAGTGGCCACAAATGGCTACAGTGGCTAAAGCTGAGCTGGTCTGAAACTGAGAGCCAAGAGTTTGTTTTGGGTCTCCTAAAGGCACATAAGTGCCCAACGCCTTGGCCATTCACTCCCCTGCTTTTCCAGGCCGTAAGCAGTGAGCTGGATTGGAAGTGGATCAGCCGGGAATGGAACCAGTGCCCTATGGGATGTTGGTGCCATAGGCGGAGGATTAGTCTGTTGTGCTGCCCTGCCTGTTCCATATACATCTGATTTTTTTTGAAAGTTTCTTTTTTAATACATATATATGTTATAAGCAGTTTAGAAAATGAGACATACATCATTCTAAAACCTAGAAATAACATTTTTTAAAACATTGAACACATTTTTTATACCACAATTCCCAAATCCAAAAAGCACTGAAAAAAAAACTCCTAATTTTGATTTGAGCTCTCTGAGAAGTCAAATCTGAATGAATTGGTGAGCATTTATTTTTAGCTTTTAATTTATTGGGCCCAACGTGGGTAGCCTAGTGGCAAAATTTTCACCTTGCACACACTAGGATCCCACATGAGCACCAGTTCATAGTGGCTGTTCCACTTCTCATCCAGCTCCCTGCTTGTGGCCTAGGAAATCAGTCGAGGACAGCTCAAAGCCTTGGGATCCTGCACCCACATGGGAGACAGGGATAGCAACTCCAGGCTCCTGGCTTCAGATCGGCTCATCTCTGGCGTTGCAGCCACTTGGGTAGTGAAGCAGCGAATGGAAGTTCTTCCTCTCTGTTTCTCCTTCTCTCTGTAAATCTGACTTTCCAATAACAATAAAAATCTTGTAAAAATTTCATTTATTGTAAATATTTTATATGTGCTTTTGTACAAACTGTCTTTGGATTCAGAAAATAATTGATTTTTAAAAAATATTATTTTTGATGTTTTCATAGTTGAGGAAGATGCATGACCATTTTGACTACCAGTTAGGGTGGAGAGAGTCTAGGAGTAGAGGAAAGTGGGTGAAACCATTGTTTCCAAAGTTTCTTTTTTTGTTTCTATATCTGGGTTAAGGGTGGAGAGAAGAGAGAAGCCACACCTAGCATCCCAACTGCATCAGTACCCAGGGTTGGGGGACAGCCACCTGATGTCATTCCAGGGTTCCTGACGTGGAGCATGCTCCTAGGGTTCTGCTTGAGTGGTTTCAACAGTTCTGAAATGCTGTTGATCTCACCAATCCAAGGATTGGGAGATCCTTCCCAAGGTCCATTGGCTGACATAGTCTACCTTAGAGTTTCCATTTACCCAGATACTTGCTAAAAATGCTTGTCTGGGGTAGTTGTCCAATTTGTTCTGCCCTCCATCCTTTGCTATGGTACCAGATGTACCAATGGACTGCCATATCCCCCACATGTATCTGGGTATGACATCCACTACTCTGTCTTAGCCACTGAGGCGCTCCAGTTGAGTCACAGATTCTGTGATTTTCCTCATGGTTGGAGTTCTGAGTCCAGTGATTCAATTGAGGATTCCCAAAGAAACCTTATCTGAGGTGATCCCAGACTGATTCTTGTAAGTGCTGGCCAATATGAGGTCCAGCTCATTCACCCTCATCTTCCTCTGTGCGCAGGGGAAGTTGCTGGGTCATGTCTGTCTCCGTTCCCATCTCTTAAACAAACCAATGGATGCTGTGGCCCAGCCCAACATCCCTACCACACATGTAGTCCTCACGTACACCAGCAGGAACTGCAGCCTAATCAGAGTGACTTTCAATAACTCCCACCAAGCCTGCTCCCTGCCCTAGTTCCTTTGCTTGCCGGTTTGTGTAACAAACTTTACAGTCAGCCCACACCCCATTCAGCTCTCATACACATCAGTGAGCATTGGAGCCTAGCTCAACCCAGCTGACTCACTATCCAGCCCACACTTATGCTGGTGGGTGCTACCACCTGTCTAGCTGGACCCACCCCATTCCTGGATCTCATGCTCACCAGTGGGAGCTGCAGTGCATCAGAAAGGTGCCCACAGTTTCCCTACTGGGCCCACTCCCAGTCCTGGAGATTGCAAATGTGACATGAATTTGTGAGCATCTATTTTTAGCTTTTAATATTTCAATTATTGTGAATATCTTTTATATTTTTTTGCACAAATAGGGTATAACCCTCTTTGGATTCAGAAAATACATGATGTATATATTTTATGTATGCACTTAAAATAGGATCATGAATCTTTTTTAGTTCACAAAAAGATCGCCCTCATTTTTAGTGATGGCCTGGTAGTTCATTATTGTCATGTGGCTTTAAATATTGTTTTGTATGGGTCTGGTTTATTGCTTTTGAACTTACTTGATTATCCCTTATGATACAGAGATGAATTTATGGGTTAAAAGAAAACACATTTTTAAAAATAGTTTATTGGTTCATTTTGGTTTCTTAGTTTGTGTGAGGCATACGTTGCTGATTTGTCATCCATAAGTGTTACAGGCTCTTTGTATAAATGAGTTTGAGAGTTTTCGATTTAATATGTGTGCGAGAATCAGTCCCATTAGGTAAAATTTCTTTCAGTCCTTAAAGTTTACGAGGTGCCCTATACCTGTTAAGATACATGACACCACCCTTTCCTTTGCTCTTCTTGGCCCTCCTGCATCTTGCCTCCTTCCCCTGCCCTGGCAGACCCCCATCCTGCCCCCATGGCAGAAGACATTTCCTTTTGTGTTCTCTCCCTCTCCATCCCCCCTCCCATTTCTACCCTGATTAAGAAAAAAAAAAAAAAGTCACACCAGAGAATCAAATACAATTTTAAAAAATCAGAACAGGACAAAGTCAGTTCCTACTTCATCAGTCTGGTCTGGCTACACAGCAAGAGGTACCCTAAAATACTAAAGATTAGTGGCCAGTCTTCTCTTCTCCCAATTCTTTTTTCATGGCTTGGAAGGCAGGTTGATGGGGAGCAGGGAGGCAGATAGAAAGGTCTTTGAGCTGCCGGCTGATTTCTCAGTGCCTGACCAGCTAGCCTGGAACTGCAGCCAGCACCTCACACTGCATTCCTGTCTCCAAGTGGGAGGTCGGCGGCTCAAGCATTTGAGCCTCCCTGTGCTGCCTCTTACCAGGTTTAGCAGGAAGCTGGATTAGCTGCGGAAGAGCTGGGACTGCGGTATGAGTTGCACGTGTTCCAAGCAACACCTTGACCGATCCTACAACATCTACCCCTTTTCCAATTCTTTGTCCTGTGATAGCCCCTCATCCTTGATCCATGAAGAGCTAGAAGCAGATAATACTCTATAATACTCTTGGAGCCATCACTTTCCCTCAGAATCTTACCAGATCAGGTTACTGTCCTTCAGAATCCATGCATGTTTTTGTTTGTTTTTCTTAAGGGTAGGGTGTGGAATCTTTTGTGTGTTCTTCTGGAAGTCCTGCCGGAGTGATCATCCTGGGGGATGGAAAGAAAACAGGAAGTTATTTCATTAGATATTGAGGATGATTAGGTATGTGTGTAGGAGATTGTGGCCAAAACAGTTTTGGTTTTGTCCATAGCTGGGTGCTTGAGGACAAGGTCCATGGTTGGGACCTAGCTACCCAAGTGGCAACTTGGAAGATCTGTCAGGAGAGGGCCTTGGTTCTAGAGGCCAGAGGGCCTTCTACTTTGAAGTCTGGTAGTTCCTAGTATATTCTTGTGTTTATAAAAAAAAATATGACTTACCTTGAGATTTTTTGTTAGTTATACCAGATGATCAAAATTATATCCCTTGAAACAACTTGGCAATGATATAAACTTTTTCTAAATGTAGTGGGATATGTTGCTACAATAAACACAGTAAATAAATGAGTCTGATGTATACAGAAAGGGCAGAGATAGAAATAATTCATTTTAAGTTATCTTAATTGTCTATGTGAAGTTGGAAAATTATGAATCTTTAATTTTTATTTGAATACACAAATTGAATTTATTTGTGATGCTTGTCTTACGTGGTATTGATTCCATATTGGTAGCAATTCCCCGAGATGAGATTTCTCAGCAAGAGCGCATTTACAGGACTTGAGACAGATGAGAAAGGTGTTTTCTTTATAAAACATTCATTAAGGTCTAACTAAATGATGCTGGTGTACTTAAAGTACTATGTGAATACTGTTAGAACTCAGGATGTTAAAAAAGCGTTATTGGCTGTACTCCCAAATAAATACAAGGAACTTATTTATGATGAGAATGCCAAGTTCTGACTATATAAATTGAGTGAATTAATTTTGAGATCTCAGTACAGAGCTCTTCTTACTTAGGCACCTTCTCCCTCCCACCCCGCCTTGGAGTACCGCCACATTTATATTAGAAAAAATCTGTATGCAAGATGCCTTGTGTCAGTATGTTCTTTGATGTGAAACTTTAATTAATAATAACGGTGCTAGTGAGTGGATTCCTTTGAGAGCATCTACAAAGCAGTGTTAACTGGAAAAGAGGAGCTTAAAGACACGTGCATGTACGCCTGTGTCTGTGGCCATGTGCATATACCCATTGTCACATTAAAGTGTCAAAGGACATACAAGACTCTTGAACATTGGAGGCAGCCACAAGTAATCAGGCTTTGAGAGAAGAGGACAGAACTCAGAAATAAACCTAGCCACTGAATCTTTTTTTTTTTTTTTGTAAGATCTATTTATTTATTTGAAATTGTTCATCTACTAGTTCATTCACCAAATGGCTACAACAGCCAGGGCTGGGCCAGGCTAAAGCCAGGAGCCAGCAACTCTCTATCCCTGACACCTAATGTGGGTGGTAGATGCCCAAGGACTTGAGCCATTCTCTGCTGCTTTCCTAGGCCTGTTAACAAGGAGTTGGTCAGAACTGGCACAGCTAGGACTTGAACCAATGCTCATATGGGATGCTGACCTTCCAGTCAGTGGCTTAATTTGTCATGTCTTAAGGCCAGCGCCTCAAGTCTTGATTATGGTTTGAATTGATGCAAAAACTTTAGATGTTGTTTTGTAATGACAGGCAAAATGGTTCAGAAGTTTGAAAAAAAAAAAAACAAACATTTTTTTCTGAGCCAACTTGCTGCAGTTGATTAAATTCTAGAATTTTGTAGTCTGTTGGTCTGGTCTTCCTGTTTGGCAGTTTAGAAGACTGAGGACCATAGAAGGGGTAGGAGCTTAGAATCTGAGCTGTTTGACACAGTGTGCTGTTTAACTCTCTTGATCATTCCATTGATTAAAGCTGACAATTTTTTCTACCTGGAGTCAAATGTTACAAATTTGAAACTGTTATTCTCAGTATTTCTCATATTCTCTGGGGGCTCTGGTGCTTGAATAAAATAGTGTTTTGTTGTTATTTGTACAGGTGTTACAGGCAATGGGATACCCAACAGGCTTTGATGCAGACATTGAATGTATGAGTTCTGATGAAAAATCAGATAATGAAAGTAAAAACGAAACAGTGTCTTCAAACTCAAGCAATAATACTGGAAATTCTGCAACTGAAACCTCCAGTACCTTAGAGGTAGGATCACATGATTTTTTTCATAGAACAAAAGTTAATTTTGTGTATTGTAGAAAATTTGTGAGATTTAGAAAAAATGGATGAAAAGCAAAAGCATATGCAAATCATACATCCCAGAGGCAGGCTATTAATATTTTGGCTTTTTTCCATGCAGCTTTACTTAATAAATATTTTTATGATAGCAGTTATGTTGTTATGTGATTTTATAGCTTACTTTTTCTACTTAACTGAAAATAAATGTACATGTAAACATTTTCAATAGAAAACTTGAGTGTATCTTAATTTCACTATCATTGCATTTTTGCTGGACATGGGAGCTACTTCCAGTGTTTTACAATTACGTTGCTTAAGCATACTAACAATATCAGATGGTACAAAACCAAAAGATTGAATGGAGGAAATTTGGGATTATTTAAAGTTTGTATATAAACTGTGGAGATTTGATGGGGACCACCCTGGGTCATTATTTACTTGGTTCACCCTTGAGGTTAAGTCACTGTTTGCGTTGGAATCCTTTGTCCTGTCCTGTGAGCCCAAGGCCACCCATATTAGAATGCGACAGAATCAAGGAACTGAGGACATAGTGCACATGGAAGATTTCACAGAACTCTTGTTTTGTACATTCTGTGTAAAGAAAATGGGCTTTCAAGTCACAGCAGGAGCTTCAAAAAGTTTTAAATGCTTTACAGTTGTAAGAATATTAAGGATATAAGTAATAATTTTTTCCTATCTTATAAGTCAACAAGAGCCAAGTACAGCAAAAATTATGTCCATAGGACCTGGCGGCGTGGCCTAGCGGCTAAAGTCCTCGCCTTGAACACACTGGGATCCCGTATGGGCGCCGGTTCTAATCCTCCCTGCGTATGGCCTGGGAAAGCAGTTGAGGAAGGCCCAAAGCCTTGGGACCCTGCACCCATGTGGGATTCCGGGAGGAGGTTCCTGGATCCTGGCTTTGGATCGGCATAGCATCTGCCGTTGCGCTCACTTGGGGAGTGAATAATCGGACAAAAGATCTCTCTGTCTCTCCTCCTCTCTGTATATCTGACCTTCCAATAAATAAACAAATGTTTTTAAAAAAATTATGTCCATAACCTGAACATGTTTCCAGACTCAAAACATCGAAAGACATGTTACACTGAATTATAATGAAGCATGAGCAGCAGAATGAGTGTAATGAGAGTGCTCACGGGAGGAAGGGGTTGTGAGACTGTCACAGCACTCACACAGTCACATAAAACAAAGGAGCATACAATGTGAGTGAGATTTTAAAGGAGTTCTGTTTGGTGGGGAGAGTTACAAAGCAGGTATTGTGGACCAAAGGAATGGCATGTATATGGACCTGCAGTTGTAGGAATAAATGTTTGGGGCCTGGCACAGGAGGCTAGTGGCTGAAGTCCTTGCCTTCCAAGTGCCGGGATCCCATATGGGGTGCTAGTTCGAATTCCAGCAGCCCTGCTTCCCATCCAACTCCCTGCTGGAGGCCTGGAAAGGCAGTCAAGGACGGGCCAAATTCTTGGGACACTACACTCAAGTGAGAGATCTGAAAGAAGCTCCTGGCTCCTGGCTTTGTACTGGCTCAGCTTTGGCTGTTGATGAGGGCTTGGGGAGTGAGACATGGTGGACAAAAGATTTTCCTCTCTCTCTCTCCTCCTTTCTGCATATCTGATTTTCTAATAATAAGTAAATAAATCTTTAAAAAAAATAAATGCAAGTGCTAGGTTGGGATGGTGAGGGGGGCAGTGGAAGAGAACTGATGGGGCCTGAAGCCTGAGAAAGCCATGCTTGACACTTCATATGCTGCCGTGCAGGGCAGCTGCATGGCTGCCGAGAGTGTGGCCCGGGCACAGGTGGTGGTCCCAGGGCTACATGTGGTTTTGTTGGCTTTGACTGCAAGAGGAGACAGGTCTACTTCATTTTTAAGCACAGACCACCCGGTGCAAAAGGAGATAGGAAGGGAGAGAGTGATGTGGGTCTCACTATAAGCCACATTCAGAGATGCTGATTAAGTTTGAAATATTTTTGAGGTGTGACTTATTTGTGTGAGAGAGATTTCAGTTTTCGAAACCAGAGAGGGTTATTTATCACTTTAAGATGAAGATTGGAAGCCATGAAATTTTAAAAACATAAATTATGAAAAGTCTTTACAAAAGGAAGTTTATTGGAAAAGGTCTAGGAGTGTTGGTTATACTTGTCTTTAAAAACTAACCATTGTTTTATTTTTGCATTATTAGCCCCTTAGCAGATGAGCATACTTTGTCACTAAGCTGGTTTTGATGTCCATTAGGTTTATACAGATGATATTTTGAGGCAGTCGTTTTGTTTGTTCAGCATTTCTTGAATAGTCATTGTAGTAAAATTAGATACATTATCTCTGACCTCAGAAGCTGCTCAATCTTTTCAGTCTTTCTCAAAATTATAATTCACAGCTTACTTTTATTCTCTATTTTTAATCACTTCCTTCCTCAACTCAGTTCTTTCAATCTCTGCTAGAATGATTTTTTTATTATTATTATTAATTACATTGCATTATGTAACACAGTTTTTTAGGCTCTGGGATTCCCCCCACCCTAGAATGATTTTTTAAGAACATATATCTGGGGCCTAGTGCAGTGGCCTAATGGCTAAAGTCCTCGCCTTGAACGCCCCAGGATCCCATATTGATGCCGGTTTTAAACCCGGTGGCCCTGCTTCCCATCCTGCTCCTGCTTGTGATCTGAAAAAGCAGTTGAAAATGGCCCAAAGCCTAGGATCCCTGCACCTGTGTGGGAAACCCGGAAGAGCTTGTGGCTCCTGGCTTCAGATTGGCTCAGCTCCAGCCATTGCAGCCTTTGGGGGAGTAAATCAACAAGCAGAAGATCTCCCTCTTTGTCTCTGCTCCTCTCTGTATGTCCGACTATGTAATAAAAATTAATAAATCTTTAAAAAAATTAAAGGACATATACCTGGTCATGTCATTTTCCAGGTTAAACTGTTTCAAAGACTGTTGTACCCGGTGAAGTCAGAGCTCATTTGCCTTCTAGTCAGTCAGTGGGGGCTTTCTAATCAACTCCTAATTCATTGGTTTTCTGTCCTCATTCCCTTTACAGACAAACTAAATTTCCTGACATTCCCCCAGAGGTAGAACCAGTAAAAATAGATAGATTTTTTTTTTTAACTGGAACTTTGCAGTTTCTTTTTCAATATAGTTGTATTAATTAATATTCTGAAATCTTACTTGGTTGTGCCTTGGTTCTCTTTTTCTTGCAGGTAAGAACTCAGGGCCCCATCCTCACAGCAAGTGGCAAGAACCCCGTCATGGAGCTCAATGAGAAGAGAAGAGGGCTCAAGTACGAGCTCATCTCAGAAGCCGGGGGCAGCCACGACAAGCGCTTTGTGATGGAGGTGAGAAACCTGGAAACTGTTTTACAGGTCATCTTACGTGTAAAAGTTTTAAGCTAAGCCTGTTTTTTTGGTGCTGTTTGATTTTTATTATATTCTATGGAATGGTGCACATTGAAATTAAAACTTCATTGAAGAACTTTCAGGATAATCGCCAAGTGTTCTTCATTTTAGGTGGAAGTCGATGGACAGAAGTTCAGGGGTGCAGGTCCAAATAAGAAAGTGGCAAAAGCAAGTGCAGCTTTGGCTGCCCTGGAGAAACTCTTCTCTGGGCCCAACGCAGCAAATAATAAGAAAAAGAAGATTATCCCTCAGGTATGCATTAAACAGTCAATATTCACAGTATCTTTTTAAAAAAAGATTTTAGAGAAATTGAGTTTGCTTTTTGCCCATATGCCACTCCAGCTGTATATGAAATTTCCTTTAGCTTGGATTTGGTCAGCTTTCTCTGTAATTGATCTGTGGTGCCCAGTTTTGTCTTTCTGGGCACATTATACTTGGATATATAAAATAGAGATGTGTATTTGAAAAGTTGAGCTCATCCTTGGTGAGGAGCAGCATTAAGTGACTTGGTCAAGTTAGGGAAGCTTCCCAGAATGCTTGGGCCTCTTGTGAGAGCCTGCTGTTCTTTGCTTCTCATTTTTTGTCCTTTTGCATGGTTTATTCTGACTTCACAGGCAGCGTGGAACTTCACGTTGTTTGCTTTTTCATTAATGGCATTGGGAATGCCAGTGTCACTGAAGGCCCAGAGCATTTGAGCAAATATTTGAGAAGGATGATCTCCTAAATTATATGCTTTTTGCATTGGAAATTCTTCCATTGAAGAAGTTATTTCTTGGGGTGAACATTTTGGCATAGCAGATTAGGCAGTCACTTGGTACACTTACATCCCGTAATAGATTGCCATTTCAAGTCCCAGCAACTCCGTTTCTGACCTGGTTCTCAGCTAGCATGCCTAGGAAACAACAGGTGACGACACACAGTCGTCTCGGAGTTCCTGTCAGCTTGGTGAGAGTCTGGGTGGAGCCCCGGCAGGCTGGTTTAGTATGAGCTGTTGGGACCAACTGGGGAGTAAGCTAGGAGATGGTCGATTCTCATTTGATTTTTCTCTTGTCACTTTGCCTTTCAAATAAATTAAATCTTACTTTGTACACATAAACCATGGACATGACTATAAGGGAGAAAGAGATACGTAAGTAAATACATTATCTGTCTCATGGAGAGAACTGGTGTAATAATATTTGAATGTAAGAATTCTTCAAAAAGTTCATGGAAAATAAAATTACAAGCTAAATTTATTTTGGGGCAAAATAGTTTTTTGAAACCTATGCAAGCAGGGAGGCTCATGAAAAACATGTTTTGAAAAAATTATGCATTAAAAAATGTTTTTTTTTTTAAAAGCGAGGAGAAACAATTTTCCCAGAGAGATTGGAACCATGGCTTTTATTAATGTGCTTTAGAGACAGGGTCATTGCGAGGATAGCAGAGAGCTCCCCATGTGTTGGTTTATTCCCCTCCGCCCAGAATGGCGTGGTGGCACCTAAGTGCAGCTTTCTCACGGGTGCTGCTGTGAGTCGGGCTGTGCTCAGGTACAGAACTCGGGCCCCTTACCTACCACGGCACACTCCCACCTTCACCTTTCCTCTTCATTCCATTTCTTTCTCTGTATTCCTTTGGAAACTTCCTAGTACTTGTAATAGAAAGAAAAGTATACTAAGATAAGTATAAACTTACATTATTAAGTCTGTGTAAATCATTATATTTAGATCATTTTACATAAGCTTTGCATAAGTCCATTGTAGAATGGTAGATGGAGCTCATTTTACAGAAGAGGATATTAGATACTTGCCAGGAGTAAGATACCATTGGATTTCTGAAGTTCCTTGGGAAATTAGCTTCTTCTCCTTCTGAGGGCTACCAATGTTCCACTGTTGTCTGTGTGTTTATCTGGAAGTTTGTATTCCTTTAAACTCCTTATATTTGCTATAGTAAACACTACCTAAATTCTGGAATTCAGAATATTAAAGAGGAAGTTTTATTTTTACTGAGATAAAGCCTTTAAGTTGCAGTGCTGCACATGTATAGAATACTTAGATTTTCTAAAATCTTTTAGTGAATATATGACAAACTAAGGTCCAACCTTGAGACTGTTCTTAGCCAGGGCATGGCAGAGGCAGAGCCTGTGCAGGGAAGACCTGAGGAGGATGTTTGTCCACAGGGGATGTGTGTGTGCCATCTGCCATGCTCCTCAGCCCTCACGGCACTGCCTTGTTTCTGTTTTTAAAAGTCTACCTTGAGGGCCCGGTGCAATGACCTGGTGGCTAAAGTTCTCACCTTGAATGTGCGGGATCCCACATGGGCGCTGGTTCTAATCCCGGCAGCCGCGCTTCCCATCCAGCTTGTGGCCTGGGAAGGCAGTCGAGGATGGCCCAAAGCCATGGGACCCTGCGCCTGTGTGGGAGACCTGGGGGAAGCTCCTGGCTGCTGGCTTTGGATTGGCTCAGCTCCAGGCGTTGCAGACTGCTGGGGAGTGAACCATTGGACGGAAAATCTTTCTGTCTCTCCTCCTCCCTTTTTATCTGACTTTGCAGTAAAAATAAATAAATATTTTTTAAAAAATTAGCTTCTGTTTACCGTTCATATTTAAAGATAAGCATAAAATTAGAGACTGGACACAGACTGGCCACGGGGTCTGTGTGTACAACATTCCAATGTTGTGCTTTGCCTGCTCTGAAATAGTAAAGTAGGAATGTTCTTATTTCCCACTTACCATCATGGGCACTCTAGTGACTTTTAGAACAGAAGAGGCTTTAAAAATTACTGATGCACCAGCATGTGCGCGCGCGCGCGCGCACACACACACACACACACACACACACACACACATCATGGGCACTCTAGTGACTTTTAGAACAGAAGAGGCTTTAAAAATTACTGATGCACCAGCATGTGCGCGCGCGCGCGCGCACACACACACACACACACACACACACACACACACACACACACACACAGGCGCGGAACCTATTCTCTGCGCTCTCGTGGCCTCCCTGAGGGCTGCTGTTTAGATCAGGAACGGGGATCTCATTGTTGGTCCCTGCTTTAGTACCTTTCCCATTCCTGTTCACTTCCAGGTAGTTTGTTGGCAGGATACTTCTGCCTCTGGGTGCGTGACTTAGGACCCTGTGGCAAATGTCTATACCTGACTCAGGCTTAAAATGAATTTGGCTGTAACTTAACTAATGGCATTTTATTTAGAAAATGAACTCTTTCTGGGTAACCTAGATGTGAAATGAGTTTGTTTGCATTTGTGTATGTACCCAGCACATTCCATGGAATAACTCAGTATGGTAAGCATCATCATTTGTGGCGAATGGAAGGTTCAAGGTTGTAGGCAGCTCTTTTTAATGTCTCCTGTAGGCGTATAGTTTCTCATCGTGGTTGTGTGGTAAAGGAAGTGGAAGGGTGATAATTCTCTTTGTCATGAACATGTGCTGTGTTTCACAGGCAAAGGGGGTTGTGAATACAGCCGTGTCTGCAGCAGTCCAAGCTGTTCGGGGCAGAGGACGAGGTGCTCTGACAAGGGGAGCTTTCGTTGGGGCGACTGCTGCTCCTGGCTACATAGCTCCAGGTATGGTACAACCTGCCTAAGAATGAAAACCATGCATTTGCTTCCTTCATTTTATGAGGTAACACAGGGTCTCTGTGTGTACATAGAGATGTGGAAGAAGAGACTCCGATGCCATGGGGTTTCTCCCTGGCACCTGTGAGGGGGTGGAGGGAGATGACAGGGGCCCTTGGTTGCAGGGATGTGTCTTGCCAATGAAGAATCTAAAATACTTACTACAGATTGAGGGGGGTAGATTTTTGAACAGGATGTGTTCAGTGGGGACACAGCAGGCAGGATGGTATAACCAGGGAAAACTGCTGAGGTTTAGTCGTTACTAGCACTGGCAGAACTCATATGGATCAAAAAACTTCTTCTCTCATTAAGGTTTTGATAAAATCCTTGGAATTCTAGTAGTAGTCAGATGACTGGTTACTTTTCCCTAGAGTTGATTTGATTTATAGCTTTTTTCGGGGGTCGGGATGCTATTTGCATAGTTGGTTGGGAAGGGTCAAAGGTTAGAGGAAAGTTGGATAAGACCACTGTCTCCACATTTCTTTTTTTTTTTTTTTTTTTTTTTTTTTTTTTTTTTTGGTCTTCCTGTATCTGAGGAAGGGGAGAGGACACACCCAGCCTTCCAACTGCCTTCATACCCTGGCATGGGGGACAGCCACCCAGTGCCATCCCATGGTCCCTGATATTGGGCATGCTCCAGGGGTCATGCACAAGTGGTTTTGTTAGTTCAGTAGTTCTGAATTGTTGCAGCTTTCTTTCTAAAGCATTAATTTAACCTTTGTCCTACACCTCCATCTTCAGTTGCCACTGCTTATTTCACATGTTCATGATTTCATGAATACTAAGGCTTGAGCTGTTACTATCTCCAGTTTTATATGAGTTAAATATTGGCTAAAAAGTTTAAAAAAAAATCATTCCTCAGGTGATTTTTCACTTTGATCAGTAAAAACAGTTGACTAATTCACCATACAACTGAGTGCTTTGTCTTAGGCCAGAGACCTGCTTCTGCCCTTTGGGACGCTTGGCATTAGATGAAGGATAAACAGATAGGTGAGGAAGCCGTGCAGTGCGGTAGGCTGTGTGTGAGCAGCAGGCTCAGGAGACTTCAGTGAGGGGGTGTTGTTTGGTCTTGATCTTCAGGATGAGTTGCAGTTGGCCACATGGATTGGAAAAATGAATCAACAGAAATGGTTTTAGAGAGAGGGGTTGTATGAAAAAGATCTTTGTTTTGTTGTGAAGGACCCATGCAAATTTTATTCTTTATTTTTCTTTATGTATTTGCTAGCAGAGCAACAGATGGAGAGAAAAAAGGAATACCTTTCTTGTGTTGACTCCTGAGTTGCCTCCATAGCTGGGGCTGGGCCCTGCCCAGGAGAGGAGCCAGGAGTGCATCTGGACCTCCTCCAGGAGGGACAGGCATCTATGGGCTTGGGCTCGGGCTCAGCTTAGTGCCTGCTCCCAGGGTGCGTTAGCAGGAAGCTGGATTAGAATTGATCCCAGGCTGTGGATGTTGGGTGCAGGCATCCCTGGGGGCAAGTTTTACTTACTCCCTCCTTTTTCTGATTCCTATTATTATTTTAAGAAAATTTACTATTCATTTTTTGTTGTTTTGATTGGCTGAGAGAGACAGAATGAAATAGCACATCCATTGCTTCTCTCCCCAGATGCCTGGAACATCCCGGGCGACCTGGAACATCATCCAGTTCTGGGGTTAGCACATGGGTAGCATAGACCCAAGTGCTTGTGTAATTGCTGCCTGCTCAGGTGTGTAGCAGCCAGAAGCTGGAATTCAGGCAGCTCACGATAGGCTCTGGGTGTCCTGCTGCCTTCTCCTCTTTTTATTTAATAAGAATAATTATCCAACTAGGCAGAGTTACAAAGAGAGACAGAAAAAGAGATCTTCAGTCTTTTCACTCTCAAAATGGTTACAGTGTCTGGGGCTGGACCAGGCCAAAACCAAGACCCACAGAAGCTTCTTCCCGGCCTTCCATGTGGGTGACAGGTACCCAAGTTTTGGGGCCATGTTTTGCTGCTTTTCTAGGCCATTAGCAGGGAGTTGGATCAGAAGTGGTGCAGTCAGACTCAGATTGGCACATACATGGGAATGCTGGGTTTGTAGAAATTGGTTTAACCTGCTGTGCTACAACACCAGCGCTTCTCACTTTTTATTTTAGAAAGCAACTTTTTTTCTAAGTTTACTTAAGAGATTTTATGTTTTTGTGTGAGTAAAGTTGTTTTTATGGAAAGATTGAATAATTCAGCTTTTATGAATTTAATATTTTTTAGGTTCTTGCTACAACACTAAGATGTAGCTTATTAGGTTTCCCAATTTACAACTGAGACATTGTTACCCTTTCTGAGGAACACAAGACATTGGTGCCTATTCTTTTGTATTTTCATTGGCATCAGATATTCACGTCAAGTTCACCACTACTGACAGAGGCACTGTGAGACTAAGGATTCAGATATCAATCAGTAAATCACGGCCCCCTCCCCCTCGCCCGTGTGATCTCATCTCTCTAAGGCATTGGAAGCTTCACGACGTTCTGTCACTGCTTCCTAAAAATGACATTTGGAGCATCCTGCTTTCAGAAATTGATGTGCATGGTTCTGAGTTAGCAAGTTATATGTAGTGAGTGGTGATGGTACCCTGTATGTTCTGCTAGGTTCATATGATGCTAGGATGAAATGTGGTCCGAGCCCTCCGGAGGGAAGGGGAAGTGGAGTGAGTAGCAGACAGAAGTTGTCGTGATACATCACCAAGAATCTTGCATGCCATGCTGAGATACAGGAGAGCATGGCTAGGCTGGGCCCACTCTGGCATGGTTCTCACCTGTCCAGCATCTGGAAGAAGGCCCTTGGGGCCTGGGCCAGGTGCTGTGTGAGCCTTGGGGCCCGTGCCAGCTGGCTGTGGTCCTGGACTGACCTGCTGTCTTCTTCTTTGCATTAGGCTATGGAACACCATATGGTTACAGCACAGCTGCCCCTGCCTATGGTATGTACACCGTCTCACTGATTTCTCCTCTTAGCAACTCTGTCACAGCACTCCAAGGCACAGTCGGTATTTAGGGTTTCTGTAAACAAATAGGAGGATCTCAGAACTAATCATTCTAGTGACCCAAATGAAATTCCCCTCGAAAATGCCACAACCTTGTGGTTCTTGGTTTGGTTGGAGTTGCTCCTCTCTCTGCTTTGCCTGGTTGAAGGACTGCTTGTTCTAATTGCCTGTTTCTGACAATATTGAAGTAAAATATTTGGAGTAGTTCTTACAGCCAATTTATACTCCATTCAAAGGCTACTGAAGGGCCATCCCCAGTTTCTAGCATGGCTCCCTTCCAGATAGAGAGCTGCAGTGGCGTTGTGGGTTTGGAGCTGTATGAACTGTGGGTGATTGGAATAAAGAACAGGCACGTTCACTTCAAATTCGTAGCTTTCACCCCTTCCCATAAATTTTGCTTTGGAGATGAAATAAATGGGCATTTTTAGTTCTAGAGTAGTAGTAGTTAGGGATTTCATCAGCTGTTATGTAAGTGTTTACTGCAGAAAGCCAGTGGTACATGCTAGAAAATTGTAGGTATGTTTCTTCACTCGCTGTAAATAAAAAATACAAGCAGATGCATAAATGCAGCCTAGTGGCCCTTTGGATAACTTTTGAATGAGGTTTATGTGGCAATGGAGGCAGTAGGTTTGGAGTCAGTGATATGCTCTTAGACGTTTTTCCTAACTCAGGCGCTACATGTTAGATCAGCCATCCACAGAATGGCTGTCCCTGAGGGAAGAGGAGAGAGAGAGTTGTGTGTGCATGTGTGGGAGAGCATGTGTGTCAGCACACCTGGCTGGGTGCACCTGCACACATGGGGCTCTCTAGAGCAGTGCTCACGGCAGGAGCCCCCGCCTCAGCCTCACGCCTTCACATTTGGCTTTTTTTGCCTCTTCATACATCAACTTTGCCCTTTTTTTTTTTTTTTAAGAAATGGGTTTTAAGATATTCTAAACTGAAGCTTATGATGAAGATGTAAGTAGAAAATGAATGATTTGTGAAAGTTTGAACATTAGTAAGATAGGCAGTTTATATCCTAGAAAGATGTGGAGACGTTGCAGAGGTTGCCCATTTGCACTTTTTTGAGTCGTAATGTAGAGCCTAGTATTACATCCTTTGCCTATATGCCTCGAGGTTGCTGGCCTGCTCGGGTGTGGTTGCTGCATCCCCAAACCTGACCTGGAGCAATGATTCAAACTCCGGAGCCCCTTTTGGTTTAACCATTTGCTTTCAACATTTGGCTAGCTTCTGGATGTCATGAGCACCTCATCCTACCCGGAAGTAGGTATAGGCATCCTCTCCACACACAGTGCCTTTCTGCCCTGCCCTTCCTGCGGTGAGTGTCCAGGCACCTGGACAGGGAGCTCCCTGCCTTACCGTGAGCTCTTGATTCTTTAGCTAAGGTTTGCTAGAGCTGAATTTTTTCTTCAAAAAACAGTTTTCTTTCTAGACCTTAAGTTACATTCATGTTTTTGCTCAGCCGTTTTGCTTTTCTCTCGTCCCTCCTTTCCCTCTTGTAACATTCTGCTCTCACCCTGCGGCCTTCGAGCCTCCACGTGAGAAGGCCCCTCTCTTCCCTGTGCCATATAACTGACTTCCAAAGCTGGTGACATTGGATGCCCCCATTTTTCACATAAAAGATTTGGATTTTAAATGTTACTGTGATGCAAACCTACTAAAATGATGCTTTATTTTGGCTGTAAGGTAAATATGTCTTTTGGCCTTTGTAAAGCTGTTGCATGTGGGGTAATTTCCCTCTGATCATCTGGTGCTCTTGAATACCTGCTGTTGCTGCTTTGTGATTTCTCCATAGGTTAAATGTTAGAATAGGAGTAGGAGCAGATTCAAATCATGCTTGAGTATGCAGAAGTTTGTAGGCCACAAGAACGTATTAATTACAAAATTAAAGTAATTAGTCTTTCCAGATTTACTGTGCCAATGTTGGCAGCAGTCATTAAGGAAATAAACACGTGGTCATGGCTCCTCGTGGAGCTCGGGGAGCTGAGGCTGCAGAGAAAGCTGTGCTTGGACTTGACAAGCCCGTGTTCCCACAGTATGTGATGTGCCAAATTGAAAACCATTATAGGTTTCTAGACTGACTTTAGAATATTAATAATACTCCTTTTGAGCTGTAGAATTCATGGCAGCTCAAATATCATAAATAGCATTCTTCCTATGATGTAGCCATCTTAATGTTGAGTGGAAAATCTAATATTGAGAGCAGTTTCAAGATAGATCTGTGAGATTTCTGGGTCTCTTCCAAAATGGTAGATGTTGACTGACTAATCTGGAAAAGGTTAATGATAATTACTGTTAGATATTTTTTTAACCTGAAATTTTTATTGGCATATTAAACTTATTTGGAGTCCTCTCCGTTTTTTTTTTTTTCTCTGTAGGTTTACCCAAGAGAATGGTTCTGTTACCCGTTATGAAATTCCCAACATATCCTGTTCCCCACTACTCATTCTTTTAGCAAATGACAGAAGCTAATTCCTATTGAACAATATCGTACAATACAGAATGTTAGAGGAAAAGCCTTTTTATCCTGCTTTCTTTGAACACATACTTGATCAAAATTATTTGTAAAGAACATCTTTCCTACTTTTGATTTTAACAAATGCAAATTTAGTTGTCTAAAACTTGAAAAGAAACAAAAAGAAACCAGTTCTGTGAAACGGTACCTCATTTCTGGAAAATAATTTATACCAGCCCTTCTGTTCTAGAGAAATAAGTCTGGCAGTTCAAAGTTTAAGTTTTAAGAGAAGTATCATATTATGTAAGATTAAATTTGTGAAGGATGTATAGAGTCTTAGACACTGATCACAAATAAACTGCTTTGTTGTAACACATAGTACTGCCTGGTTCCTGATGCAGTCACTGATTTCAAGCTGAATGACATGGACTTGCCCCACGGGCACTTTAATTCGGGCTGTAGTTATTTTTTTTTTTATTACAATAGAGAGTTTCATTTAAACTTTAACTTTGTAAATATTGAAGTGTGTAATTAAAGCCAATAAAATATGGGTTTGAATATTGTTTTAGCTTATTATTTTTGATATGTTTTGGTATTAAATTACAAGAAATTGCTAACTAATGCTATCTTAGCCCTAAAAACCCATTCATTTGTAAGCAAACTTCTAAAAAAAAAAAGCAAGGTGATTCTCTTTACTTTGTAAGCCCTTGGTACACTCCATGTTGTATAAGGGCATCCCCATGATAAAAGTCATATTCTGTTTCCTGAGCATTGCTTATAAAATGATGGCACTATCCAGAGATGGGGAAGGAGAATTGTGATTATTTTAGATTTCTAATTTCCAAGTTTCCAAAAAAAAAAAAAAAGACAAAAATTAAAAAAAAAAAAAGAAAGAAGGAAAATAAATGAATAAATGAATCAGTCAAGCACCCTCTCTTGTTCTTGTGGCCTTCTTCACTCTGTAAGATAATGTGTTCACTTCCTGGTTTTTTTCATGCAGATAGAAGATTAGCCATTTCTCTGGGACTCACGGAAGGGTCTCCTTTCCTCTTCAATTGCATCAGAATCTAAAGCAGCAACAGGGTCCCCATAAAAACTTGCTCTTCAATTGTCCCAGTTCTTGTTGAGTGCTGCTGTGAAAAGTGACAGGTTTCAGCCATGGGTCAGCATTTATTTTTGAGACACCTGATGATGCTGGTGGAAGTGGATGAGCCAGTGACATTGTGCTGTTCTGTAAAAGGGTGCAGACTTAAGTCCTCCACTTGCATTCTCACCTTGTATGGAAAGCCGATGATGTTACTAGAAGGTAATGGTTTCATTAAGGTACTCACCCCCATGAGGGCAGCAGTGTGGGTCCCTGTGGTGTTGGTAACTGGCGCTTCTGTTCCATGTTGAGTCCTGCTTCTCAGGCCTGAACAGTACCCACCAAGGAAAATAATGAGTGTCCTAGAAGACGGCAAATTGATGAACCCAATGTCTTTGAGACCACTCAATGAGGGTAAAGTGGGCAAAATAAGACAAATGTTAGTGTGGCTTCTTCTTAGATGTACAAAGTCATCTGTCCTTCCCCTTGACCTTTTGTCTTTAGTAGAGGTGGTGGGTGATACTTTAATAAAACCTCGTCACTTGCTGGAATAGCTGTAACTTACCATTCTCATCCTATGCATTAGTGGCTAGACATGAACAAGAGGGCCTATTTCTGCTGGGAGTTTTCATGTTTCATTGATTTGTTTTGCTGACCTATGGATGAAACAGAGCCATCACTGAGAAGAAAAAGCATGGCTAGTAGTGTCCAGTTTTCATTAATTAAATGTTTACAAGAGTCCTCTTTGTTTCTGGAATAAAATTAATTGGCAGTTGCAGCTGTACTTTTGTCTGAAATTGAACTATCAAATTTGGGTTTTTTGGAATCTCTCCAGAGATTTCTTTTTTAGAAAATTCTTTTGAAGTAGCTAACTCTGCTTCGTGACCCGTCCACATGGTGACCGGGGAGCTGTGCTGTTTTCCAACATGATGGCCGTCATTTCAAATGGTTTCTACCAAGTCTTTTTGTTTTGTTTTGTTTTGTTTTTTTTAAATTTTGTTGTTTGTTGGAAGTTACTAACCATGTTGTAAACCTGCCCCGTTGCTGCAAACTTTTACATTTCTCTGCTTTACTTAAAACAATCGAGCTGTCAGTCCTCCGTTAGAAGTGGTAACCATGCAAGTTTAACTGTTTTAAATTCTGTAATGAATCAAGTGTCCCCTCCCCCACCCTTGGACCTTTCTTCCTCCTCCTCCTTCCATTTTGTAATGAAAATTCCACTTACAGCTGAAAGAGCAGAGAAATATAAATGAAGCTGTTGGCTTCACCAAATTGCGCGAAATTAACGTGAAGTTTTGCTTCTCTGCTCTTTTCTTTGCTGTAGGTGGTTTTTTCATTGACAGCCCCTATTGCCAGCCTCTGAGCGTCGCACCATTTATTATTCACTTGGGCCCTCAAGATTTCTTCTCTGACTTCTAGAACCATCAGGTTGTCTGGCTTGAAATGGCAATTTCTATGTCCTGGTCCTAAGAACAATGTGACACCTAGAGGCTTTCCGGCTTTCAGATACACTCCTCTGATACCTTCTTTTTGAGAGCAATCATTGAGCGTTGTCAAGAAGAGCAATACTTTGTCCAAAGCCACGGTGTCTGTTTTAATACCTTCCTTTGGAAACTTAGCAATATCGGCACTCTACCCCTGTTAGCGTGGGCTCGTATCACAGTGTTTACAGATCAATGGAGAACTTACAGTTAGGGTGTGAGCTGACCAGTTTTTAACCTTTTTTAGCACATAAATTTAATATAGTTACATCCCTGACTGTGTCAGTTAGCATTCTTGTGATTTCTCAGAAATATGGGCCCTCCTTGAAGCCATATTCTCTAGTGGGGGCTGGCGGCCCGCCAGGGCTATGCCCCGCAGGCTGCAGGAGTCGCCACCGCTTGTGCAAGGTGGACGGACAGCCAGGGGGAGTCCGTGATAGGTTCCTGAAGTCGTTGTGGTCTCTGAGTTATTAACCTGGGGAGCAAATCACTGATGGAGTTTGCTGTTGTCAGTCTTGTCTTCTTGTTAAGAATTTGGGTGAATGTTTGAAAATCATGAATCAGTCACCTATAGTAATTGAAGAGCTGGGAATACCTCGCTAATGTATTTTTAAAACTGGTGTTGGACCCTCTGTGTATTTCAGGTTAATACTTTTAAGCAGTTTTCAGCACGTTTATCTCACTTTATTCTCGTTCTCCTCGGACCTTCGTAGCCATATCACTTGTATAAAATAGGCTGAGATATAGTGACTGTAAGCTGTGATCTCAGTATACAAAGGTAAGCTCTTTTATTTTCTGATTAAAGAGAAAAATAATCAACACAACATGCATATATGACAATCATATATGATGAATTGGATCTCTTAGGTCTTATGTCATCACATTTCCTTAATAGATTTTATGATCTAAATGTAAAATTGTTGTTTTCAGTTTTTGTTTTACTGCCCCTGTAACTGCTTTTCAGTCAAGAGAATCCTTTCATTTCTGTGAAGTGTATGTATGTATGTATATTTGTATGTATAGAAACTTAGGATGCGACGTGTATATAAGTTACACTCATGCACCTGTTTGCATACAGGTGCAGTGGGAGGATCAGTTCACCTGAGATGGTTTTAATGACAGGGCACTGGCCAAAGCACTGGCATCTCCTAGGCGAGGAAGGTTTGTAACAGTGCTGCTGCTAACAGATGTGCATGATCCACACGCAGAGCAGTTGCCCAGGAGAGGATCAAAGTGCCAATTTCTCAAGGAGAGAAGCTTCTCTGAGAAATGAAAATCTCTGATCTGTGTTGTATGCCCCAGTACAACAGCAAGAAGCCATACCAAAAAAAAAAAAGCAATAGAAAATGGAAAAAACCAAAATCTTAAGGTAACTATGGAAAAATACGTAATTGACCAAGATAAGCTAATCATCTGCAGAACCTACTTTGATGAGACTCAGACTGGTGACTGCTGAGTCTGCAGAGACCAAACTGACTCCTCGCAGCCCTGCTGCCTTGCCGAGGCCCACAGCCAGGTTACCCCGTCTCAGCCGTGCTGAGCCCAGGTGCAGAAGCGAGGGTGAGGCCCAGGCCCAGCACTGACCAAGATTGACTTCATCTCATGTGCCCATAGATGCATCTCCTTATGGATTAGCTGTCCTGCGCTGAGGCTGTGTATCACGTGTGCATGTGAGTACATACACACAGATTAAAATGAATTTCACGGTTTTATATTGGTTTCTAAGTAGCAGTTTCTTTTTCTTACTAATGCTAAGGTTGCTGGAACAACTTTTTTTCCATACAGAATCTGTCTGTACATTTCTTGTGGCTTTGGCAGATGTCACAGGCCCTGTGAGGGCTGCTGCCTGGTACTGAGCACAGCCCAGGCCTGGCCGTGTGCCAGCCAGGCCCCGCTGGAAACATTGGAAGGCTGACACACCCCATCGGTGGAGCTGAGCCTCTGGTTAACATCTTGCTTTGGGAGACAAATAGTACATTAGCAGTGGCAAAAGAGTATTAACTTGGTCAGTGGTTCATTTGTAAGATGCTTCATAATGCAGGCCCTTGAACGTCACTGAGGCTGGAGGATTGCTTTCCCACTCAAGTCTCCCTGGCAGTTTTGAGAACCTGAAGCCTGCTCTGGTTCTTATTCATGGTCCTCTGTCCAACAAAGTCTAAGAGAGATGAATTTTTAAAAACAACAACAAACTTCCAACCCCTTTTTCAGTAGTAAAACAAAGCACAAGGTGATTGTTTGCACACCCGCCAGTAGCTAATTATCCCTTTCTCCTGTTCAGGTTTCTTATTTGCTAGAGGAAGACGACCTGTAATAGCCTGAGGAAAGCTAGACAGCCAAGAAGGTTCCCTGTCACTCCACCTGCTGTCCCCTTTCAGAGCCCTGAAAGCTAGGGGCGTTGAGAACAGTCACAGCTAAGGACATCCTGACTCGCATTCGTCTGTGCCCATGTCTCCTTCAGGAGGAAGCTATGAAATTCCTCACAGCCAGGAGGGTTCTCTGGTGGCCAGCTTGGGCCATGCAGGACTCTGATGCCAGGCCCTGCAGGGGCCCTGGACATCTCAGGGTTGGTTGGGTGGGTAGGTGGGGAGTGGCAGGGAGATGGCTGGTACAGCAATAGCAAAGCAGAGCCAACAGCTGTGCAGGTGGGTGTCAGTATTGTGTTCGTCATAGAGCAGAGCTGGTACCTCTTCCTAATGTCAGCTTTCCAAAAGGCTGTTTCCAACCAAGAGTTGGAGTTGTAGGAACAGGTATATTTATCAACATTTCCATTTCAGGCCAATAACCCCCATTGATCCTTGCTTGAAGCAATGATCTGTGCAGGCTCATAGTATTAGTACCATAAAGCAGATTGGGTTATGTAAGCTTTATACCACAGCTAAAAATAGGGAACAGAAACCTCATGGGGGTCTGAACCAAGTCTGTCTCTTGCTCTAGCCTCCTGCACCAGGGGATGGGGGCGACTGAAGGACTAGAGAGAGTAGTTAATAAACATCACATGGCCTGGGCAATACTTGGTGTGGGGAACAACTATTGTTGCTGCCGCTGTGAGGGAGGTGTGGCTGTGCTGACGTGTGTTTCAGAAGCAGGTGCGTGGCCTGCTCAGGTGAGGTTGTTACTGGTTCCTTGGTGCAAACCCCTGGCTTTGGGAAAGGATTGTTAATTCCAGGGGTTGGACAGCAAGTAAGCATAAGCCAGGGCCCTGCGATGCTGGTGTGGTGGGCCTGCCATGGAGCCTGGCTGAGTGCCTTGTAGGTGTGTCACCAGCTGCTCTACTGCCACGGGCTAGGAGCCTTGGTAGGGGTGGAAGGGTAGCTGCACTCAGAGTCTCTACCTGCTGATTGCCGGTATCCTTCTAGTGCATTTGAAAACAACAAATCCAGTCTGCTGTTTGGTTTTAGCACTCAGAGCTCATTCTTTGTGGAAGGTAGGAAGTCAATTACTAACAGCTCCATAGAGAACTGGAAAAGAGGCCACGAGTGGGCCTGGAGCCTGTGGACCTGGCTGCTGCGCCGGGGAGCTCCTGCAGCTGCTCTGTTGGTTTCCCTTGATATCCTGGGGAGAAATCAGTACTCGCCTGTGAGGACATCTCCTCCCTCATGTCAGTCTTGGCGGGGTGGGGGGGTGGTAAGGCTCCGTCCATCTGTCTGCCTAGACGAGAGTTTGCTAATTTGCTGCTCAATGTAATAAAGTGGGTAGTTAGTGTACACTGTTGGACAGAATACAAGGCGTATGCTTTACTGCCCACTGCAGGCTCACACCTCTGCCCACCCTCAAAAGCCCCTGGGAGCAGCAGGCTCCCTGGAGAGCACAGCAGAACTGGAAAAATGTTCCAATAAGAAACCTGTGTACACTCTGTGCAGACAAGGACTGGGCCCTTGCAGGAGGCGACTCAGAGGTGTTTCTGATACCCTGGCAGAGGGGTGCACACTGCTGCCCAGCTCAGGCTGTGGGGAAGAAGCCTGGCCTCATTGAGCCACATATTCATTAGCATCCTGATTGTTAGCACTTTCTGCGGAGCTCATGGTTTTGCTACAGCTCAGCCATTCTGCAAATGGGTAGTGCTGCTTCTGCCAGTTAGTGGGGAGCAGGGATCCTGGTTGGCCCAGGCAGCCAGAGTGTGGCTGTCAGGCCCTTTGCCGGAGGCAGGTGGCCAGAAGGAGGGGCTGCGAGCAGCCTACATGCTGTGAGGATGTTGGCTTCACGCCACCAGCCGCCCTGTCTCGGCTTTGTGTTGGGGTCCCTTGGCACAGTGGAGCAGAGGGTCTTTGGGCAGTCGCCAGGAGCCCTGGGCTGAGACAGCTTGCTTTGGGGTAGAGCAAGAAAAATACCAAAACACCAAAACTTTGTCTTGGGCTTTGTGGAAGGTAGGAAGCCAATTACTAACAGCTCCACAGAGAACTGGAAAAGTCCAGATCATTGGACTTTCTAACTTAATTCTTAAACAGCTTTCTTGATGATGGTGGGGATTTCTCTTTCAGAGGTGATAAAGTAATGTTTCCAATTAAGTGCTAGAGCCAGGAATGAAGCCCGGCTCTGTCATAGCTAAGGCCTTTTTCTATTATGGACTCAAGAGTCCAGAAAATAAACTGTATTTCAGGCCCTCCAATGTGAGGCTGTCCTAGACTGGTTCCCATAGCCTGATGGAATGCATGGATGCAGGCGCTAAGTGGCTGTATGAGTAGAGCAGCCTGTGTGTGAAGTGTTTTGCCACTGGTTGGTTGGACTGTCAGTGGAAGATGAAGGTACCTGTTTTCTGAGTGGACACTGCCCACCTGGCCTGCCAGAGTGACGCTCAAGGAAGGCTGCTGAGGCTTTGGTGTGTGGAAGGGCTGCGAGTGGAGGGTGGTGTTGCTTGGTGGCATGAGGAGAGCCCAAGGGACCCATTCCAGGCTTGTTCTTGGCACCAGCAGTGGCTGCCGTTGGAGGGCACTACTTTCCCTTGGCTCTGTCTCGGTGAGTTGCTCCTGGGCACTTGCCCATGACCCAGCCACTGCACCAACTCCTTTATTGATTTAATGCCAGATGAGCCCCTGAAGTGACTGGATAAGGAGTCAGACAGAGTCCTTTCTGGGCGATCTTTCTTGCCCCATGTCAGCTTCTCTGGCAGCTGGCGGAGTTTCTGAGCAAGCTGCCCTCATACCTGAGATGGCATAAAACAGCTGGCTGCCTTGAGCCCTGGCGCCTGCACAGTACTGCCGTCATGGGAGCGCCTTGGTTAAACGGCACTGTGGGCATGGTGGCTGTCTCCCTCCACTGATGGGGAAGCTGCAGCCCCAGAGCGCTCCAGACCTGCTTGTTGCAACAAAACATTGCGGCTCCTAAGTAGTGAGCTCTGAGCCACAGACAGCAGGTAGCCCTCTGCACGCTGCAGGGTTAGTGCAAGCCCTTGCTTAGTGCGCAGCTTGGAACTTGGCCACAGCTGGTCATCTGGACATTTTCCTCGTCCCCGGATGTGCCCGCAAGCATATCACTGCGAGCAGTAGAGCCCACGTGTGACCAGCCACACCCCTGCAGTGGCCCCACTTGCTGGGATTCATCCTAACCCCCTGGCCCTTCCCTCTCCCTCCGGAAATCCAGTCTTTCCAGGCCCACTCTTTCCCAAGGTGCTTTGAAAGAGCTGCGGTAGCCAGCTCCTGGACAAAGGGCCTGATGGGCAGGCCTGACCTGGGCACCCCATTTGTTCTAGCTGTGCATGGGATGGCTTCCATGGTCTCCATTTGTATTCTGTCCCTTGGCCCAGCAGCCGCCTGCTGACTCCTTAGCTGCTGTTTGGAAGGTACCTTGGGGCCTAGTCGACCTTTGTGGGAGAGAACTATTATTTGTTCAGCCATGTCCACTTCGGGCCTGGTGACTGTCCTGCCAAGAGTGTCACGTGGCTCCAAGTGGAGAGACTGGGATCCCCGCTGGTGCATCCGCCCCTAGGGAGTGTCGGGTGGTACCCCAGCTGTCTGGCCCAGCAGGCCCTCGGAGGTTAGAGCAGGGGAGGCACTTCCAGGAGTGCCTGTCGGCAGTACCTGGAGGCAGGTAGGGGACCAGGGCACGGAGGCCCTCAACAGGGAAACCCCAGCTAATTCCAACAGGTGTTGAAGGGGTTGTCTTCACTTGTTGTTCTAGAAAGGTAAAGTCTGTGGGGAGCAGAGCAGGCAATGTGAACTAAAGGATGCCTGCCGTGAAGGGAGGCCAAGGTGATCTCCGGCTGTGTCTGAGCAAGCACCGTGGTGTTGGCAGCATCTCCCCACGTGGGCAATGTGCCCGCTGACTGCACGCCTCCTGTGTCAGTGCCCTTAGGCTTCTTGAAAAAGCATTCACGTCGCTTGCTGAGGTCTACCTTCTCTGTGCTGTGGGGAGGCACTTAGAGAAGACAACTGAGGCTTTCAATTTGGGCATGGGTACCAGGCAGCAGGCCACTGTGTCAGTCAGGATGTGCCACCCTGAGTCTGAGGGTCCCGGGGCAGAGCCGCTTCCCAGGCTTCCTACTGAGCTGCACACTTGGGGCCTGCGGGTGGGAGGGAGTTAGAGCAGTCCCTTGCGAGTGAACAGAGCTCAGTGCCTTGGGGCAGGTAGGCTCTGATTCTGGGAGGTCAGGGAACAGCCACATGGCTGAGGGACAGCAGGAGGACAGTGAGGAGAGACTGACGGTGTGTGTGGATTCCATTGATGGCCCCAGCCTGGTCCTGCTTCCCTGTTCCCTCCGGAACTTGCAGGGCTTTGGAGCTGCTGCTGTCAGCGCACGGGCCTGGGCCAGGTGACATTTCATGCAACCCAGAGTATGGTTTGCCACCTCCTTAGCCTGGCTGTGTGCCACCTGGACCCCTGTCCATGCACCAAGGCTCCTGTGCCTGGTGCAGGGCAGGCGGGCTTGAAGGGACGCGGCGGCGGCAGCTCTGGAGTTGTGTATCCGGAAGGGGAGCAGGCTCAGCCATGTGGACAAGAACTTCCGTGTGGTTGCACATGTGTGTGAGAAGCCCGGGGGTGTGCTGAGGACCCCTCAAGTGTGCTTGGTGGGACACCAGGGCTTCCAGTGTGCATCACACACCTTGCACTGTCACCTGAACTTCTTGGCCAATGAATGAATGGGGCCTGCAGGGTGCCAGAGTGGGTAAGAGCTGGGCTGCGACACCCGTAACTAGCCTGGTGCAGTCCTGTCTTCAGATTTCCTCTCGTTATCCTGTAGTGTGTGTTCACATCTCGCTTGGGGTTGGAGCGTGGGTGTATGG